TGCTGTGTCTGGAACAAAACCTCAAAAACCCCAAAACCAAATAACCCCACACACAGTTGCCTGATTGAAGTAAAAGCAGAACTTCATGGGGCTTTGGCAGGGGGAGAGCAGAGGATGCTGAGCGGTGCAAGTGCTCTGGTGTCGAGTGCACCCAGAAATGAGTGAACAAATCTTCTTAAAATGAGAAAAACACTAGACAGTTGGAGAGTATTCTGGTCTCTTGGATTGTTGTGTTAGCTGAAAGGTTATGAGGAGGAGAGCACTTTCCTTTTCTTAGTGGGCAAAGAAAAAGAAGAATTGGAGGGAATAGGACCAGGGGAGATCTCCAGAAGTTACTGATGGTATCAGTTCCAGAGTCTCTCTTGGCAAACTGTCCCAGTGTCTAGTCTGTTAATGTCATTCAAACCTATATCCCTGGTACTTTGGGTGAAGCCCATTGGTTTTATAATACTAGGAGTGAGCACATGGAATGGGTTAATCAATCCCGTTACTGCATCGACTTTTCAACTATACACAGACTATCACTATGTTTCCCTCAAACATCTGTTTTCTAGATGAAATAATATATTTTTTTTACAATTATTTCTTCTCATAGGTCGTGTTTTCTAGAATTTCTAGAATACAGGTTCTGTAGTTTCCTCTGGACTTTCTAGATTGTTTGTGTTGTTCCTGACTCTCAGTGCTTAAAACCAGACACAGCATTTTAGCTGGGCATTAGGCTTTCTTTATGTCTTGGGCCTGTTCATCAACTTAAACATGCTGGCATTGTGGTTGTGCTTTTTGCAGCAGTGCTTGTTTGTTGACTCCTGTTCAGTCTGAGTGCCACTGTCACTCCCAGCGGCTCTGCTCCAGACCTTCCCTAGAATGGAGTGCATTACCACCATTTCTCTTAAAATACTCAGTGAAAGAGAATATCTCTGATGTCACAATGTCTGAAAAGTCAGATTAGCTCTATATAAGACATTTACACAGGATGATACAACACAGTTGGCCCTCCAGTTGGGATACCTCCCAGGTCTGTTTTAAAGCTCTTGCCAAAAAGATCTTCAGGGCACATTAGGTGCTTTGTGCTATGTTAACAGCAAAGACTAGTCAGCTCTGCATTATAAATAACAACATAAGGGAAAGTGATCCCTAGCTGATACCTCTTGACCAGTTTCCAGCACACACACACACAGGTGAAACTATCCAGCCACTAATACAGCCTTGTTGTTTCAGTAATGAAAGTTTATTCCATAATATGGATCCAGCTTGTGGTTTTGGCTGGTTAACTGTGTTCATAATAATAATAATACTTTGCTGAGCTAGCAAATCAGTGTTTGAATGTTAGCAAAGCACTTCTTGTGTATTTGCCTATGGCTGTGTGCTTCAAGGACTAATCTTGCAGTCCAGGGTGCCCTCACAATGACTTTGATTTAAAAGGCAATGAGCTCAAATTGGTAAAGAATTGCTGAAGATTGTGCAACTTACATTCTGCTAGATACAGTGGGATTCGATGATCTTAAAAGTCTTTTTGAACCTAAATGATCCTATGATTCTGTAAGAATTTGAGCGGTATTAATTCCCCATTGTTGTTGTCATCAGGCTTCTTTGTTCACTTAGCAGTTACCTAGATATTATGCTGTCAGACAGATTTCCTCAACTAGCAGCCCGTGAACCAGATGTGGGCTGTGCAGCAGTGCTCTGCGGCCCCTCAGCAGTACTGAGGGGAATGGGCTGCGCACCCTTGACTGCTGCAGGATGCAGCCAAGCAGGGAGAACTGACCGCTCTTGATGTGCTTTGCTCTTCGCCTTGAGGCTGAAGCAGGCAGGCTGGGCACGTAACCTTGCTGTCTTATGTCTGCCTTAAAACCTCTGGGTAGCACTGGGCAGGGCCCAGGGGCACAGCTCAGCACTTGGTCATCAGTGCGGCTTGGACCTTGCCACTGCAGCTGGAAATCAGAGCCTGCAGGAGAGGTGGTTGTGCCACTGCAGGGTGGTTGTACCACAGCCTCTGAGCGGGACCACAGATCAGGATAAGCCTGCTGACGAAAAGAGTTGGGCAGGGTGGTGTCACAGACTCAAAGGACACTGTCCCAGCTCAGTCTGCACATAGTTGACCTTGTGCCTAGAGTCCAGAGAGCTCATTCTCACTTGATTTGAAATGAAATCTCTGAGGAGCTCAGTCTGTCTGGGAGAGCTGGTGAACATTCCTTCTAAGCCAATCAAGACTGCCTGCAGACCTTGTTCTTTTATGCTATTTGGCCTCTTAAACTAGCTGAAGAAGCATATCCTTCAGCAGTATACAGTTGAAGAACAGCAATGTTCTTCTGAGGATATTCACCAAAGTGTTCTCTAAAGCCCCTCAAACAGTGTGGTTCTAATTTTTGATGAAGATTTGTAAGTGTTGCTGGAATACAAATATAAATTACTGTCGCTCCTGGTTTTACAGAGAAAGAACAGAGGTGAAGGCAGTTGAGGCATGTCCTCTGAAAGAGGAAACATTCAAAATTAGCCATCACTTTTTAAAGCTGAAGCTTAAAGCCTTTCATTTATGTATGCTTAACAAAAGTACAGATACAACTTCCACTGACTTACATAGGAAGAAAGTCTCCATATCTGCTGATATTCTGGACAATACTGGCTGTCTAAGAGCGCAGTGTACTAAAAAGGTATAATTCTTCAGTGTGAGCTGTGATTAGGGAAACTTCCCTTTCTTTCCCTTCTTCTCTTTTCTTTGTAGCCCTTAATTATAGAAATGTTGAGGACTTAAAAAACATAGTCTTCAGAGTGATGTCTTTTTCAGTGTCCTAAGGAGAATCAATTAGTGCATTGGCATTATTAATTGTGATGTAATGTTCAAGATGCAAGTCACTTTCTTCAGTGCAGTGCAATTTACAGTTTTAAAGAGAAACTTAGCTAATATTTAATGAACCAAGGGTTTGGTTACTTTGTTCTGTGGATAAGAATTCCAGATTCCTACCATTTCAAGAGGAAGAAAAATAATTACACACAGATGTGGAATAATTTGTTCTGTATTGACTAGTGAAACAAAATACCAGCTGCAATTATGCAACCTGAATTCCTTTATACATAACAGCTGAAAAAAAAATCTGACAAGAGAGGTGTGGCTTATATCAATAGCATAAACACTGTCTAGAGTGTGTGGTGTGTATTTGTAAAGCAACGTATTATTATCAATTTTTGCAAGACGTATTGTTTATTTAGCACAAGTATATTTATTGTTCTTGTTTATCTAAGTATTATTTAGCTAGAGACAACATAGTTATTACTTATCAGCTAAAAATGAATTAGCATTTAGAATTCCAGAGTAAAAACATCATGCTAAGTGCTAGCTAAGACTGAGTTGTTTTTAAACTGTTGTTTTAATTGAAAAGCAGTAAAATGTGTACTGTCCTGTAGATAACAGACTTTTTCCTTTCTGGCTGCTTTTCATTGTTTCCTTAGTGTGACAATGTGCTGGGAGTGCACTAGACTTCTTGGCATAGCGTCATGGGACTGATTCTTACTATCAGCAAGGGGAATCATTTGCAGCCTTGAAAGTCATGTTGCAAATGCTGGCTTCATCTCCATTTTTTCTGCCTGGTGTGTGCTCTCTGTTTCTTGATGTGGTCTCTCTTTACTTTTACTTTCTTTTTTTTTTTTTTTTTTTCGAGGGAGACAGTTACAGTTTCAAAACTTGCTGAAGTTTTGCACTTTTCTTTTTCATTCCTTTTAAAAATTATTCAAGATTTTTTACAAGACTAAGGGCTTTGTCAACGTGGTTGCAGTATCAGTATGTGTTGCATACTGATTAACTGTTGTTTCACAACACATATAATGTAAGTGTAATTAAGAATTACTCTAATAGTTTAGTGATTATACTGACATATGGAGAGAAAAAAAATCCCCTGTTATATTTG